ATCCCGATGACAACGGAGGTCTTCAAGGGTTCAACACCTAAGGCCAGCAGATTTACTTGTTTTTTAGATGTGCAAGGCGAGTGGATGACGCATTATGACATCGTCCAGGAGGCTTCAGTTTACATTGCCCATTGTAGCCTGCATCATGTGTTGATTGGGACCATGCTGCCTCAAGCGAGCTGTTGTCGGTGAAGGGTTGTTCTGTCCTGCCGGTGTGTAGAGAATCGGGACATGCGGAAGGCGTCAAACGGCTTGACTCTGGAAAGCAAGGGCGAGCTTGGAGAGTGTCGCCGAGAATGCAATACCATTGCTCATGCATGCCGTGCGCCTGTCACGCTTGTGATGCAGTCCACCTTCCCCGAGATGGCCGCGAAGACCTTGTGTCTTCCAGTCATCACTTATGCCTCATAAGTCTTGCCATAAGTCATAAGACAAGGCTGCACAGGCTTTGTAGGGTATCCTTTTGGCGGTCCTTAGCGTATGTCCACGACATCTCAGCATCACGATCGTTTGGACAGGCGTGAGGCTGTGGAATGCTGTGGATGAAGGGTCTTGTCTTGGAAGGCGTGTCATGCACCAACCCCACACAATTCAAGACAAGGCATGGCATGCAGGGGACTACAGAACGTGTGCTGTCTTTGTATGGCGGGAAGGAACCCTACACGTTCGTTACTTCTCCGGAGAAGCAATCAATAAGCGGGGTTGAGGGTGCCGGCCGGGGACGCGGGGGAGTACAGGTTTTGGAACGGTGGGGGCGTGAAAGTGCCGAAAACATGTACTCCCCCGCGCGTCCCATGGTACCTGCATGTACCTGCAAGGGTACATACCTTCCAGATTTCGGGTTTAGGGGGAGGGGAACGGTTCGGTTCACGGTGCGGTTCCGGGCGGTTCGTTGCAATGGTTCGGTTCGGTTCCTGGCGGTTCGGTTTCTGCGGTTCGGTTCGGTTCCAGAACCTTACTGAAAATTGATTTGGGCCCAATCAAACGACATGGGCTTCAAGAGCCAACATAGCAGCTCGAGTGGCAGGCACAGTGTTCGATGAACATCGCGAAGACATGACCGAGATGTCACTCAGCAGTGAGGTCCTTCAGCTAGGCTTTCAAGCACGGGCTGCCTGATCCGAGGTTGTACAAGAACTACAGGCTTGCCAGTGAGAAGAAGCTGTCTGTCGAGAAGTTCGTCTCCCGAATCTGCAACAAGCTCTCCAAGTCTTGTCCAGGCAAGCAGCCCCCGAAGGGATTCCAGCATCGCGACGAGGGATGGATGCCTATCATCGATGCTGATGGCTATAAGATGAGAAAGATGCAGCATGAGCCTTGGCTTGCAGAGCCCCTGTGCAAGTGTGATCCTTCATGACCAACTTTCGGTTAGCTGTAGCTAGGATGCTTGCTGAGGCGTTGAACAAGCACGCCAAATCCGATGGTGGGCAGCCTGTCCAGTTCTTGGACCCAATGGGCTCCTTGCCGGCAGGGCTTTACACAGCTCGGACTTGGTCCTATCGCCTCCAAGTGAGAAGAAGTTGAGCAACTGACTGTGAATAATGTCCGGAGGTAAAGGGTTTAGGGTTTAGGGCTTCACAGGTTTGGCCGTTGGAGCTTTGCACGTTTTGCAGGGTTCAGGGATGTCCAGGGTGTACAGCTCATCGGTTCAGGGTTTAGGGCTTCACAGGTCCAGGCCTTCATAGGTTTAGGGCCTGTTAGGCTTCAGGGCTTCATGGCTTTGGGGCTTGGGGCTTCACAGATTTTAGGGTTTTGGGTGTTGCGGGCTTAGGGCTGAGAGCTGTTAGGATAGTATGACGTAATGTATGTTGTGAAGATCATAGATACAAACTGCACCACGAGGAGTACAACCCCGTGCTTTGAGTCCCCGAACTGTTGCTGCACATTTACTGAAGTGTCGTGACTGTGTGGTTGAAGTGTTTCTCCTTGTTGCGCGATTCTCGGTGTCCGTTTCCTGCGGGAAGTTCTTGCTTCTTTGAATAGCGGTGGCCGGACGTTGTCCAGCATTTCCCGAGTTTGGCACTTTCTTAGCACCCCAAACAGGGCTCTAGGACTCTAGGCCCTATAGGCCTCAAAGATTCACTGGGTGGCTTTTCTCTCCAGCATGAACCATGGGCGATGCATGCCAAAGGTGGCTCAGCTCTGCACATAAGGGTAGTTCTCTAAATTAGGGTCCCCTTTTGCGTCCCCAATATAGTACGGCACCCCTATAAAGAGGACCCTAAAAGGGACCCTAATTTAGAAAATACCCATATAGTATCTCGATGTGCTGGTTGCTTTCTGTTGAAACAGGGGGGTCCCTGTCAACATCAGGACCTGGCATGCTGGATGCCGATGAAGATCTATGAAAACTGCGGAACAGCTACATTCGGCGGGCACAGGCTGGATCCGAGCAGGAACTCCACCAACACTGGCCTCACAGCACTCTTGATGTGCTGCGCATTCTACATCCACCTCAAGACACCGCGAAACATCCTCTTGGCGAGTGCAGGAAGCTGAGGGAAGGGTAAAACAACTCTTCCGAGCCTGGTGTGAGCAAAGCACTTGCAGTGCTTGCAGCTGTCCCTTGCATCGAGTCTGCCGGGTGCGAAAACAAGCCACGAAAAAAACACAAGTCCTGCTCCACTTCCTTGTTCTACCGTAGTTCATGGAAAAGCCTCAAGAGCCTCAAGCACATGCTGGACTGTCACCCGAGCCTCGCCTCAGACCCCATTGCATACAAGTCTCGTGCCGAGGGCAAAGCTATTCTCCGAGAGGATGCTGCCAAATGGGTCTGCAGCCGAGTCAGCTGCGCGAGGTTTCTTCTTGTCACACAGAAAGAGACAGGGAGGGAGAGAGCGAGAGGAAGGAACAGCTATAGGACAGTCACTTCGGGTGTACGACCTATGAAAACCTCAAAAGTAGAGGTTGCGCCTTCTGCCCCGTGTCCCCTGACCTTGAACAGGTCGGAAGGAAGGTATGAAGTGGTTTTGTTCGGGAACCGGATTTCCTACGGACAGCATTGTGTCACCGGGGGCCTCGTTTGCTCCACAGGGATGGACCTGATGCAAGGCCCGGGTGGCGTGCGGGGTTCTGTCCAGCTGTCGGCTCCGCCCTGCCGACAGTTGGTCAGCTTTCCGAGAAACTCCGTGTGTGTGTTTCGCCTTTGCGCCTTTGACGGACCATGCACTGCTTGGAGAATACGGGAGACAGGAGACCGCTTCGCTTCAGCGCGAGAGCCAAGCTTCGGCTCCATGCCCCCAGCGAGGGCGGTTGCGGCGCGGCGGCTGCGGCCGTTGCGCGTTGCCCGTTTTGCCCGTTGCCAAAGTGAGACAAAAAGTGCCCTGGGGCTCCCGTCCTTGGGCCAGCATAAAGAAAACTTTGCAGGCTGTGTGCTCAGGGAGGCTCGGGACGCCTCGCGGAGATCGTGGCTGTAAGGAAAATGCTTGTCTTTACTGTTTTGATATGTGTTGCGCTGGGGGATGATGCTACATGGATCGTGCTTGTAAGCAGGGGCTCCCCTCCTCAAAGCTTGCCGAACAACAGAAAAACAACTATAAAGACAAGGTTTAAAAGAAGAAGAAGAAGCTCAGAGGTAGAGAAGGAGTAAAGAATGTTATTGCATTCGCTGTGCACGAGAGTCTCTCCACGCATCAGGCCCACTGTGGCGCACTGCGAGGCCGGACCAGGGCCCTACCGGATCCTATCGGGGCCTAGCGCCCAGTTGCCGCCTGATCCCTCCTCCAGGAGCTGGCCAAAGCCCAGTCGGTCGCAGGCCTCGCGGAGATGCACGTCGAGTCGAGAGTCGAGAAATGTCGAGAAGAGCGGCAGTGCGCCAGGCTATGACCTGTTGCAAGCAAATTGCCAGCACTACGTCCAAGACTTCTGGAAGTTTGCGGTCTGACCCCCGGCCATTGGCTGTCGTCTATTCTCAGGGGTGAATCGAAAGCTGCATCCTCTGCCACATCGCCGAGGTCGGTCATGGTCTGGGCATGCCCAACCAGGCGCCACCCCCGCCACGTCCCAAAAGTCTGGAAACTCCGAGACCCAACGGCGCGCACTGTAGGACTTCCTGAATCTCTTCCAGGCCATGGCTCGCGAATCTTTGCTGTCACCGGTTCGCAACGTCCAAACTCCGCGACTGCAGATTTTTGGAACTCCTGCACACGGTGCGAAGATGCACGGCCCCCAAGCGACCACATGGTCTCCCAAGAAGCATAGGAAGCAGTCAATCCTGTTTTGCCGTCTCCTAGCATGAGAAGAGATTCTGGCCTGCGACAACGAGCCTGTGTCCTCACGAACAGCCGAGTCACGACCCTGGCATCTTGGGCAACGCGGGCTTCTCTCTTCGCTCAGCCCGAGTCTCGGGAGCGAGCAGCGAGCGAGCGAGCATCGCGGAGCAGCGCGAAGCAGCGCAGGCTCGGTGATCTGCTTTGCCTCAGGCCGGAATTCCGAGGATAGTGCTCGACGGTGCACTGCTTGTGCGAGCCCCGCGAAGCTTGGAAAGGGAACCGCACACGGGAGAGATGTCAGCTATGCCGAGAAACTGCCCGTGGTGCCATCGACTACGCCGAGCCAACTGGACCAGGAGGTGGTCGAGGCCAGGCGAGGTATGTCCGTCAGCACATGTCAGCACGGCCAGCGGCCACTCGGATGGCCAGAGGGTTTTGGGAGATGCTGAAGATGATGACAGGATGCTTCCCCAGCAGAACGCACCACCACAGGCAGGAAGTGACCAAAGGCCTTGCAGCCCATGTGTGTTTATGCCGTTTGTGCCTGTGCCAGGCAATGCTGAGAGTGCTGTGAGTCCACGTGAGGGCACCTGGGTATGATGCGGCTCGCGGCTCTTTGGCCGCTGCAGACTGACCTCGGTTGCCGGGTTGCCAAAGTCGCAGCGTTGCACCGTGGTTGCCAGAGCCAACGTGCTTTGCATAGCTTCGTAGTGGCTTTGAAAAGGACATGCATTGACATGGCGATTACCATGAAGCGCCTGTGTTTTCAGAATCCCTTGCTCCCTGCAGGGGCTCCTGTGGTTGTGACCATCGCGGCCACAAATCGTTATCACTGCCTGGATGAGGCCTTGGTCAGGCCGCGCCTGAGAGGGTCAGTCTAGGCCCTAGGCCGTGTAGGGCCAGCGGCTGGCACAGCTTCGAAGGCCAGGCCGATTGGACCGCATTGTGATGGTCAACTTGCCCAACTACTCGGAGAGAGTGGTACTGATCTTGGGACTCCGAGATGCGATCAGCTGTGACGGCATCCGTGAGCTGAGGCGACTTTACAGATCCACGCGGCCAAGCTCAAAACAGAGGCAGTGGCCGATCTTCCTTTCAATACATTTCATCGCTACTTTACGCAGGCGATCAGATGCAGCGTAGCTTCACTGTTTGCAAGCAACTACCTGGCAGAACCTTGACGTGCAACTCCTCGCACGACGGACAGAGGCATAGATGCTGTAAAGACTGCAGAGTATAGAGTACAGTTGCGCGTAAAGCCCAGTGCAGGGCATGAGCGGTGCCGACTTGGCCAACCTCCTGAACGAGGCGCCAGCCGGCGATGCGCAGGGGTGTGTGGGGAGGTTTCGTGGAAAGAAGGGAACTGTGTGACTCTACTATCTCTACTATACGACCTGTACGGCTAGCAGACTTCCGGCACCAGAGGTCCCAGTGCGTCCCATGGGCTCCTACTGGGCCCGCCAGACGACTTTCGCACTGGAGACCCAGGCTAAGCTCCTAAGCTCAGATGATTCCGGTGCTGCAGGCTGCATTACTTGCTGCGCGGCGGCGTGCAGACGCAGTCCGTGCGATTCTTGATTGAGAGAGATTCAGAACGGCCTCGCAGATATTCGCAGATCGCGAATATGTGGGAACGCTCAGGCATGGAGCACATCTGGGCAGTTTTGGCGAACCCCAGGTCTGCGATTGCATGGTGGGGTCATGCCACGATAGGGAGCCGTGGGCACGCCATTCGTCGCCAGGCCACAGCAAAATGCAGCAACGGCGGCAGCACCCGGCATCCCGACCCGAACCAGCCATTCTTGCCTTCAATCACAAGCATCCGGGTCTAGTGGCGAGGACTGAAGGCTTCTGCATTGCTTGTGGCCGTAGGTTGGAACGATGATGCGGCTCAGCAGGGCACGGAGTCTCAGTCTGACTTGTATCGGCTCGCGTTCGAGTGCTTGGGGTTGGCCCCAGGTTTCGCTGCAACTCCTGAGTATGCCGAAGCCTCGACAGAAGCCGCAAAGTTCAGCAAGCAACTCTGCCTTTGTCTTGAAAGCGAAGAAGAATGTGTCTCCAACAGGCGGCAAAGATGTTCGCCGCCTTTGCATCAGCTTTGGGAGCATCGAGAGGCGTGGTGTCATGGTGTGCGATGCTTAAAATTTGGAGCAGCAGCGGCGCAGATGTCCAGCACAGGCAGTGCAGAAAGCTCCCGGGATGCGGATAGTTTTGATTGAATTCACATACCATGTTTTCCAAACAGACAGCTAGCCCTCCCGGAGTTTCACATTTTGGGCAGCAGGAAGAAGCAGAATGGAGCAGTGGTGTGCGGAAAGTATGAGAAACTGCAAAGCCAAACAGTTCAAGGCTCGAATCTTTCCGTACACCTCAGCTCTTGCTCCTGCTTCGCCCTTTGTCTCACAGCGAAGTTATTGGCCGTTCGAGCCAGTTGGAAGCTCGGTGTCTGGAACGAATATCGAAGGATTCGGGGATCACTGTCTAGCGGCGCGAGTCACGAGTAGGATTGATAAGTTTATTGTCGTCGTGCACACGCTGCACCGTGCTCCCTGCGGAAAAGCTTGCAACTATGCGTGCAGATGACTGCCGACTCACACTGCACAAAACCTTGCATTGTCACAGGATGCTGTCTTACATGCCCGGCTGCTATTTACAGCCTGACCAAGACAGGGCTTTGGCTCGAGGGTACAGCAACTTCTGTAGATTGCCGTGATTACCATTGCAGATTGGAACAGCCACATAGCCGTCCCATCACCCCCCAACAAGCTACCTGCAAGATCAGAGATCGATCAACAGCTTTGGCTAATTCATGATACAGAGAAGAGCATGGAGACAACGCGCGCTGTGCGTGATGCTCGCGCCAAAGCATTGCTGGCTTCGCTGCGGCGATGCGACGAGGAGCTTCCCAGGCACATTGAAAGCTTGGCGCTCGGAGCCCATGGCATAGGAGTCTGCGCTGCTACATCCGCCGCCGCCCCAAGCAACGCCATGCCTGCTAAATTGAACTCGAGACGGTTGTGCCGAAAGCCGCGGCGAGGAACCGCGTTCATAACATAAGTACATCCGTTTTCATCCATTCAGCCATCCTTCCATCCATCCATCCATCCAACCTTCCAGCCATTTTTCGTTTTCCCTGACATGCATTCATCCACGAATCTACTCATGCATCCATCCGTTCATTCATCCATGCAGCACAACGATTAAGCCAGTCATTGATTCGTTCAACATCTGTGTGACCATTCATTCATCTAAGCATCACGCATTCATTCATGCATTCTAGGAGACACAGACAAGGCCAGACTGCTTTCCCCCGGGTGGTGGGATTCAGCGACAACAAGATTTCTCCCACATACTGGCGGGATTCATAGCCAGCCACATTCACCGAGACGGTTGTGAATTCGAGGTCAGCATACGGCCACTGTGTTGGAATTGACAATGGATCGCACTTCCCGAAGCATGCGGACACGCTGCATCCACTCTCTCGGTCGAGTGTTCGGTCTGCGTGTACGATGTATCTCGGGCAGCACACGCTTGTAGTAGTCAGAGGGTTGCAAAATCGCAGGAGGAAGGGGTCTTCTGGAATTTCAACATGACTCGCGGCGATCGCACAAAACACCCTGGGGACCCTGAGGGTTGTCATTTTCGGGCCGCGCACACATGGGAATGGAATTTAAACTGGATCTCGCCAGGCCGAAACGATGAGCAGCAGTTCCCGCTAACCCTGCCGAATGAAGGGTATTGCAAAAGATCAGGATGGTATCAGAGTAGTATGTAGACATCTACACCAGCATCACATACATGTCATCACTGTATCACCTCCACGGAAAGACCTTTTGCAACGCTTTTGGAGTGCGAACGCAGTGGCAGGCTCCTGGAAAGAAGAGAAGCGGCTCTCTTCGGACCAGGCTGGCAGAGCCGTCGCGCTTGAGAAGCAAGTTCAGCTCGAGCTATAGAGTGTGTCCCTATACAGGTGATCCGATACTGTGGGAGAAAGTCAAGCTCACCCCTTCCACTCCCATGCAAGGCAAGCCACATCCTCCTGGTGACTGCAATGTTGTTCTTCCAATCTTTTCGATATGCACAGGAGAGTTTACCGTGCTGATTGCAAGACCACTGCACTTGGCCGGGCTCCTGGTGAAGCAACTGGATTTGTTGTGCGTGCTTCGACATTCCTTGTCAATCCGCATCAGTTGCTGCCACAACGTACGACCGTCAAGGTTGTTATGATCTTTGTCCCGTTATAGCTTTGAAACGTGTTATTCCATCATCATCCTCCTCGTCCTCATCGTCAGAAATCATCAGAAATCATCGTCATCCTTTGTGCCAGTCTTGGGAGTTTGCCTGCGAGCTGCTATTGAAAAAGGCCTTCGTGTAGACGAATCAGGGCTGGCTGTGCTGCCAGCATCCTTAAAGGCGTCGACAGTGAGGATCCGTGCTGGCTTCAAAAGAAAGGCAGGGAAGTCCATCGGTCCACCGGAAAATAATGGAGGCTTTTCGTGATCTGTGATGAAGGCCCAATGAGTGCGAGCTTGCCATGGCTTGCAGCTGTTACTGCTACTTATCGGATCATGACAAGCTGGAGTCAAGTTTTGCTTTGGCAGTCCCAAGCTGGCATAACACGAATGAACCCATTTCCAAGCAGTAGGGAAAGTAGGAGAGAGCGAGAGCGAAAAGGTTGGCAGTGGCTTACCGGCAGGGGTGGTCGGCAGTGGCCCAGAAGCGGAGGGAGTGGACGGTGCTTCGCAGAAAAACACAGGGTGTGCTACTGATTTGATTGGCGGTGTGCGTTGGTCTGTGGTGTTCCTGCTGCGAGGCTGGGAAGTTACCGGCTGCTTTGCTGATGCATGCAACTGGCAAGTGCAAGGTGTCCAACCCAGTGACAGGGGCCGATGCAGCTACATCAGTTCCCAGTGTTGTAGGATTTACTTCCAACAGCAATGTGTGCCAAGGAGTTCATGGCGAACCGTTTGGAGCAATGGGCGCGAAAAGGCTTGATTGCTGTAGCCTTTGATGCCCCTTGGCATGGCGAGCGTGCACTTCCAGAAGCGGGACTCACCAAATCAAGCGACCAAAGCAATAGTGCCAGCGGTGCTCTCTCCCTGACAAGCTTGGGCCCAGAACTGCTTCGGACGCTACAACACCACGAGACTGCGCGGTTGGACGTGTATTTCAAAGCGTTGATTGCTGGCTGGCGAACGGGATCTGATAGATTTGTCCTGGACATCTCACGCGATGCATTGACAGTTGTCGATTACCTGTGTGCCAGACCCGATGTATTGCCGGAGCGCATCGGTGCAGCAGGGGTGTCGCTGGGTGGGATGGCATGCTGGCTCTTGGCCGCCGCAGACACCAGAATACGCTGCGCCATGCCGGCAATCGGTGTGCAGTCCTTCAACCATTCTTTGAGGAATGGGTTATGGGGTGCCAGGGTCGACTCGATTCGACCAGCCTTCGAAGCGGCTGCTGCCGACTTAAAGAAGGCTTCCGTGGATGATGACGTGGTTGCAGCTGTTTGGTCGCGGCTGGCTCCTGGCATCGCCGAGGCGCGACGAGAGCTCCAGCCACAGAAAGCAGCTTGTCGCACGCTCTCAGCCCGTCTCCTTTACTCAAAATCGATGCTGACATGCCTTAAGTCTAGCATGCCAGGCGCATCGCTAAGAGATGCCTTTGTGCGATCCAGCGCATATCGTGTCACTGCCTCGCAGCGCCGGCCATTGCGATGCAAGGATATACCATGGATGTCGTTGAGGAACCCCCGCATCCGAAATGCTACCGTTGTTATCATGAGGATCCTGCGCTGATGTAGCCTCGTAGGCAATGGCTGGTGGGTCGGCTGGCCATGGGCCATGCTGCAAAGAACGGAATTCTCGCAGCAGCTCTCGGGACAATCAGCATATCGAACATCCCCCACAGCACGGGCCCGGAACACGCGGTCACGGAACACGCATGAACACGCCCCGGAACCTGCCCCAAAGCTTGCCCCAATCTGTCCAGAAGACCCCAAAGCTTTGAAAAAAAACGGCCAATCATCCTCACGAGTCGGTGGACAACATCAGGAAGCTTGTCCAGAAGCGTCCTGCCCTGCGGCGTGTTGTTTTCAGCAGTACGGTGCCGAGCGCCTCCGTAACTGCCAGGTCGATCCCAGCAACCGCCTTGCCTTTGACGCGTCCGCCTGGCATGTGAGCATATGCCAGACCGAGCTCTCAGAACCCCTTGGAGACAAAGCTGGCGGAAGTCTTTCTCAGTACAGTAGCAGCTTGAAACTCAGGCTCCAGGGCTTTACCCAAAGTGGGCTTGCTAAGGCATCCAAAAAGAGATTACTGATGCCACAGCGGCCACTGCGTGTCTCGTCGGATCCTTCTGCCTTCGGCCGCCAGGCCGCTGACGCTTCCATGCATTGCGCCTCGCTTTCTACTGGTTCTCAACGGTGAGAAGGAGTCTTGTCTGGCTTTTCTGCAGTCGTAGCTTTCTTTCGTTCTTCCTTTCTCTCTCTCTCTCTCTCTCTCTCTCTCTCGATTCTGTCGGCGCCTGATGAGGACCCGCGCTGCCCTTTGGAAGGGGTGCAGAAATGCATCGAAGCAGCCAAGCAGGCACAACATGCGAGGCTTTTTCTCTGAGCCGCATGCTTCCTTTGCTAGGCATACGAGCAAGAGGGGCAGCCGGAACATCTGAAGATCTTTATTGAGAAGGACGCCCGAAAGTTGCGGGTGGATCAGCCCCTTGTGTCGCAACCCGCTGCGAAGGATGTTGAGCATAACATGACAGCGACGATGTGGCAGAAGATCGAGTCTTTTCTTGAGGCAATCGAAAGCTGCATTGCCATGGTTGTCCAATCTTCGTGGCGCCCTAGGTGTCATTGGGATTGCCCGCCACGTCCAAGCTTTAGCGGCCCACCCAGCTGGTTCCACGCACACACATTTGCAACGAGTCCTGCCTCAGTTCTCCTAGCAGAGTTTTGCAAGACGCATGTTTGTGCCCTGAGTCCAGAGCTTTGCGGGATTCCGGTACAAAGCGTCCGATGCCCAAAAGTGCGGCTGAGAAAGACCATTGGATGGGAAGACTCGTCAGCTGCACTGTACGCTGTAGCATGTCGAACGGCCTTAGTTCCGGCAGGCCGAATCTGGTAAAACCTTTTACAGCTTGATCATGTCATGCATTCCAGAATACACAGGGCTGGCTTTGTGGGGCCCATCGGACTAGATATGCGCGAGCGTGCGCTTGCAAGCGGAGAGAGAGAAGCGAAGTCAGGTGTTGTGCGTTGACATCCTCAAGCGACTCCAGCCGTACTGCTGGTGCTGCATTGCGCCAGCCCTATTTGTGCAAGACTGGGGCGACTAGGGGTGCGTTGCTGGTCCGTTCTGTCCTTCAGTGTGGCTGTGCAAGTCTTTTCGCTACTTAGGCAGACGGCGCAACGGACAACTCAAAATCTAAAGTGCGGTGCAACTGTGATGTGCTTGGCTGTGAACAGCTCCATCCTTCATGGTGGGCTTGCAGTTTACGGCTGAAACGCATAGAGTCATAGAGCGCACCTCCCAAGGAGAACGAGCAACCGAAGACTCTCAGAGATGTCCGCCATTGAAAGTGCTGAAGCATCTGGACTGACCATACAGAGCAAGCAGACTTGTTCAATTCAGGTGTTTGTGTGCCACCCACCCCTATGATGGTAGCTACATCTAAGCAACAGTGATAGAAGAAGATGCATCTGCATGGTCACTGAGCACAGACCATGGTTAAAGATGCCTGGCCAGCGACCGAGACAAGTGGCCTTTGACGGTCACCTAAGAGCATCTGGCAGCTCGTCGCGTGCAATCGCAGCAGCATCGCAGGTCGGCAGACCCTGGCGGCTCCTTGGCATGTCAAAGTGCACCGGTGCATGCAGAAGAGCACGATGAGTTGCGATGGGACACTGTTGATGCACTTGTGGCTTCGTAGATGGCAGTCCTTGTCAGCCAGGGCAGAGCAACCATGTCTTGCGCGTTGTAGCACTTGCGAGGCCATGGACATTCCGGGGACTTGCGCTTCTTCTCACGGAGTTACGATCCGCAGCAAGAGCCGCATGACTAGTACGGCGGACTCTAGCATTGACAGGGAGGAACGGCTGTCATTCTCAGGCTGAGTCCGGTCGAAGAGCCTCTTGTTCAAGTGCACGAAGACGGTGGCAAGCCTACTTCCGCTGGCGAAAGTTGCCGCACCAGGGCCCCTTAGCACCGAGGCTTTCCTATGCGCATCAAGCTCGAGCAGAAGCAAGTGCCACCTTCGGTGCTTATGGGCAAGTGCAGGCCGGCAGAGAGTCGCGACATGTCGTGAGGTCGTCATGAAATGTGCCGAGGCGAAGCCCGCTTACCGGCGAAGTGATCCTGCCGGGACCCCAGGGCCCCTGCTCCGGAGTCAGACGGAGCCCTGACAAGGCACGTGGACCCCTCCTATCCTGACTTCCAGGCTCGAGCTGAGCGGAGCGGAGCGAAAGGGCCTTCCCCCTGTAGTCTGCGAGGTGGTGGATCTCGCTGGCCGTGCTTGGCTGCCCAAGAGCCGGAGCCTGCCTCAGCGACAGAAGAGCTGCGCTCTGCTGCACATCCAAAAGCTGCCGCGGAGCGCATGCGCCGGAATTGAGTTGCAGCAAGGACTTACCTGGAAGAGGATGAGTATCTTTTTCGACCTGTTCCTCTCATGCACCCGACCCGCGACTGACAGCGGCTTTTAGCAGACTTGGCGATTCGCGTGGGCAGGTACAGAACTTGGCTGTACCAGTCTTTCTTCCTTCATCCGAGTGGACTTGGCAGCACCGCGGCCTTGTTTGAAGCCTTTCTCATGCGACTGCTACAGTTACTACCGCCGCGTTGACTTGCGATGACTTGATCTGGAGACATTTCAGGTCAGCAGATGTCAATGCATCGTAGCGTTGTTTTGCGATTGGAACGTTGTGGCCAGTCTAGAGTTTAGAAAGAATTGCAGCACTTGCTCCAACCAGATTTTGGTGATACTTCTAGCATCTTCTAGCAGTAGGATGTAATCTGTTCGACATACGCCTAGGCGTGGGTTCCATTTGAGTCGCCGTTTTGCACCGTCATCTTTCGAAGCAGAGCGAGCAGCCTTTCCTGTAACACGTTTGTGTAAAGCAGATGAGTTTTGCAGAGGTTGTGATAGGATTAGCGAGCCAGAGGTGTAAGCCAGACTTTGTTCAGAAATCTATCGTCCCTGTCAGAAGCAAACGATTTGGACTACGTCGTGAGACAGGCAGGTGTGATGCTGCTGATTGTCCCTTCATTGGCAAGAGAAGCTGAAGATCGCCGGAAACACCCCGAACATTCTCGAGCATTCGGCAAAGTGCGGAGTTTGACCCGCAGGCGTTGTCAGCCTTCTGCTTGGATATCATGTCTGAAGCCTCAGAAGAGGAATTGTGCTCCTTTCTCATGAGTCGGCACACTAGCATCTGTCCAACGCAACATGCTCTGCTGCAGCAGGGCAAAATGTTGTGTCCACCGCAGCTAAAAGGCTCTGGATTGTCTCTGCAAGCGTCACGCCATGGAGCAGCCTTCGCAGGACTCGTCTCCGCCAGGCTTGCCTGGGTTCCCGGGCACCACGGTCCTGTTCGGACATCTCTTTGATGCCAAGCTTTCGTGACCCAAGCTCATACGAAGCCAGAGCCCGTGTTTGAGCAGTGGCTTGGTCGTGCATCAAAGAGATGGCCGAACAGGATCGTGCTGATGCGTTCATGCTCTCCTAAACATCATGGCAGCACGCCATGGTGAAGCGAGCATGTGGCGCACGCACTCGCCAGCCTCAGCGGGATTGTCCATCGCGTATGCTGCACTTGGCGTCGGAGGTTCCAGTGTGGTTTTTGCGAATGAGTAAGCTGCCGGCACCGACTCGGGCAAGGTTGAAGGAGTCAGTTGAGAAGCGGAAGGCGGCGAGTGGGACCACTCAGAAGTGGAAGAAGCTGAATCCAGGCATTGCTAAACCAAGCCTCTTCAACGGACAACATGGTGAGGCCTTCTTTTTAGAGGTTCTGTGCCTACAGAGCCCTTTGGTAAGAACGGGATAACACATGGGAGTTTTGAGTGGCATGATCACCAAGATCAATGCGCACGGAAGCCTCCGCACCAGGTGATACGTGAAAGCAAGCACTTGAGCACGCATCAGGTCTGCCATGACTTTCGTGACGTAGCTGTGCAATTCCGAGAAGTGCCTAAGGATCTGGGACAACAGATGGTCGCCGGTCATGGCGTATGCTCTGGGCTTGTGTGTCTTTGTGTTGTATATGTATGTGTGTGTGTGTGTTTTGAAGCACGGAGGGCTTGGGCGTGTTGCGTGTGGCAGAGTCAACCGTGGAAGTCTGCCTCCGATGTGTCTGGAGTCTACGTTGAGGCCTTTATCATGTTTCTTTCTTCCCTGACTCTGGACAGCACGATTGCATGGGGCCTAGCACGCCTTGCCAGCTGGCGGCCTGAGACAGCTTTTCGGGAACTCCAGGGAACGGCACGATGCACTGCAGCGCGAGTGAGTCGGACTGTAGTAGCTAGTATTCCCGACCGAGATCGCCCTCTCTTGCGGTCTCGGGCTGCTCACGTGCGCATGTGCCGTAGCATGCAACTACGCGAGGGCTGCGCCCCCAGTTCAGGGTGGGCAAGTCAATCACGTGCAAGTTTGAACAAGATGCCAGATCTACCAAAGAGAAAGATGGGTGTCACTGTCATGCCCTTACTTTCTTCACAAGAAATATCAGAAGATGGCACGTCAGCTGAGGCCCTTTCGTTTTGCTTTCCTTTGCTACATCCTCATCGCATTCCCGTCAGCCACCGTGCTCGAGGCGAGCTCGGCCACTGCGCCCAGCGCATGTGGCCGCCATGGCCATGTTTGAGGTGATTGGCTCTACGCTGCTCTTCGTGCTTGCAGGGGACCTCGTTTTTCACTCCCTCCGAGCCCGACATTTTCTCGCGCCACAGATGCCACAGGTCTCCGTGGAGATCATTCTCGGCGACTGCTTTTTCTTCCCCTCCTACAGGCGACAGCGGCGACTGCGAGGCTTTTGCAATTCCTCCAAGCCTCTGAGCTGCAAAGGTTTCACTGCAGCTACCGGATCTTGCGGTCCCTGGGATGTCGTGTCTACGCGCCTCGGCCGGACAGGGGGAAGAGACAGTCGCTTCTGGGAGTCAAGTCTATCAGGTCAACTTAGGAAAACTTGTGGCACAGTAGCACTGCCCTGCTTTCCCTCGTTACAGCAGATTTAGCGCTTGGGATGAAAGTGGCAGGTTGCATTGCTTTTCGCAACTTGCTTGACAAGCCTAGCTTCTCCTTCTACTTGTAATGTCCTTGGAAAGGGTAGCTCCAGAAACCTTCTGAGCACGCCCACAGCTGCGGGGTCGGGAGCAATTCTCTGTTTGCTTTGCTTCAGATATTCGGCCGGCCTCGGCCACACAATCGGTTCGATGAGTGGGTTCGGCAGTGACGGTTGCCACTCGGCGGGGGCAGTCAAAGCTGTGCATCTAGGTTTGTGAACGAGAGGGCGCTGTCGGCATGCCTGCGGTCGTCGGCAGAACCCCCGATAGCGCGAAGCTTACAAGCAAGTGCTTGAACTAGATTGTCCCGGGTTGATTTTCGTGAGTTGCATTCTGCTCATTGCGTGATGGATGTGTCACCACAGAAATGCCACATCGCATCGTGCAGCTTCCCAAGTGGACAACGCTTGGGCCTCGGTGCACGAGATGTTCAAGCCTGGATGCAGCATGCAGCGTGCCACGTGTCGGTTACAGAAGGCAGAACCACCTCATCGTTGAGCTCGAGGGCCTTATGGTGGCATCTCTGCCATGCTTTTTCACATTGACCCTGGGCAATACTTTGCCAACTCACGAGAAACCTCAGGGGCTCGGCATCTGTACAGGATTCACATCTGCATCGTGGTTCTGGCATGGCTAAGTCGGCTAAGTAGTTGGGATGGTTCGACTTGGCAAGCGCAGACAAATTCCTGCCAAAAGCTGCAAGTGGCCTTAGACCCTCCTCTTTTACGAAAGACCCAAGGAATCCGCGAGAAAAATGCTGCAACAATCTGCTTCTGGGTGCCTCGCCAGGAGCTGCGACCGATGCGAAAGGAGGACTGGAGCAAAGCTGCGCAGGCAGGAGCAGATCGCACGATATGAATTCCATGCTTGGCTGTTCGTTTTAACGAGAGACAAGCACAAACCCTGCTAAAGAACGACAAGGGCAGGACCTAGCACAGAGCATCACGTTTGGGGTGATTATCACTCTAAGTTGCTCGATCCTCTAGATACCGGTATTTGTCCAAGGTTCACAGGAACGCATGACTGTTCTCAGGCGTCTCTAAGATAGTAGTGTCGCAAGATACTAGTAGCGCAGTATGCATGCCTCCGCAAGGAATGTGAAGAACTACTGTAACTGGAATGCTGCAAGGCCCCTCTGCCTTCTACAGACACATCTGGCTGAGCAGTCTCCCGACAGTCATGATGTGGGTTCGACGCGATCGCGACGGACATGGAAAGTCCATCCGACACTTGAGTGTCTTGGGCCATTACGACTGTCGTTACAAAGTTTTCGGAGTTCAGTCTCAATGCAGTTCCGCTTGGTTCGCCTGCGCGCCGTGACTAGAGATTATGCTGAAACCGCACTCACAATCATCAAGCGGGTCAGGAAAGCTCAGCTATGTCTCCCTGTCGCCCAGCTGTGCAGTACATCAGAGCACTAGATGGCATGCGCATGCAGTGCCGTGCTCGACGGCTTGCGTATGCTTGCGAATAGGAGTCCGACGTTTAAAGATAAGTTAAGCTGCCTACACCACGACCAGAGCCTACAGTATCCAAACTTATCCACAACTGCCCGGACATGGGCTTGCAGCTCAATTTCTCCTGAGCTTCGTTCGAATCGCTCAGCGCCGCTTAGGGTATGTATGCTAAGCTCCACCACAGGTTTTTGCACCCACATGGACACGAGAAAGTGAATCCGAACGGCAGCCTTGGCTCAGGCAGTCAAGGCCCAGCACAAAGTGGACACGCGGTAGAATTGTCCGACAATGTCAGTTTTGTGACGGCCACACACACAACAAAAATCATATCAGCGCCGGTCTCGAAGCATCGCTGATTGCCAAGACTTGGTGGGAAGTGTAGAGAAGCCCCTTCACACGTGCAGGATTAGGCTCCCGCCGGGTGCGGTACATTCCTAGCAATACGCGACTGAAGTTGAGTGCATACACAGTACACGAGCGTGGCTTGTCGAGTGCAGCACTCGGATCCCGACTTCAAAATGTCGAGCTGGTTCAGGAATTCTCGGAGACCAACGTTCCTATCACATATGTCAGCTCGGCACTAAGAATCGTGCAAGGCAACAGACCAGTCCATGCGCCCGGTTGACGTACATGCTGTGCTTCGTCATTTGTTCAGGTCTGCCTCTTTGCGAGTACGACGGTCCTGACATACAGGATACAGGGAATTCCGGCCAGCTTTGATCAAGCTTCGACATGAGCGAAATTTGTGGCCAACAGGACGAATCTGAGGACGAACAGGACAAGTTGTCCCGTTGAATTCCATGTCGTCGGGTTGTGACGCAGCCAGAGATCGCAGGATCGATTGCCCAAGAAACTGGCACGTGGCGCTGTGCTTTTGCCTCGGATACAGTACTTGTGGTTCTTTGAGCCACTATCTGCGCTTCTGCCTTGCATGGACCATGTTTGTACACCAGGAGGGGCTCTACACACTTGGAAACTCTGCGAGCTTTCCGGCAAGCCCGCGCGGAGCTGTGATCTTGTGGTTTGATGAGCCACGAAAGAATGCTCGGTGACCACGGCGGCCGAGGCGAAATCTATGGGGGGAGCGAGCAACTAGAGTGGATGATCCAGGATCTTGAGTATTCGTGATCTTGAACGGCTCGCCGATGCTTTCGCATGAGTGGGCGTCGCCCGTGCCCGTGTTTGAAGCCGTGCCCAATCAAGCTCATGAGGCCAAGTCTCCAAAGAGACACGAATCAATGTGTGCGCGTGACGTGTTGCATGGTGCAAACTGTTTCACTCTGACCTCCAAGAGGACAGATCGACCAGAAGAAAAATGCAGAAAGAGGTTCAGGATGTTTCAGGCTTGCCAGGGCTTCAGAGCCAGAGTCCCACACAGGCATGTTGACATGTTGAGATGAGGATCAGCAGGAGACAGGACTAGAGCGTTGGCAAGCTGGATGACAAGCGGGCAACATGATTTCTTGAAGAATGCTAGTTAGTTGCTAGTCGGCGCCTGGTCGCGTAAAGCCGTAGGGCCTCAATGCTGAAAGTCTCGAAGGATCTCGAAGGGTTGTTCCTGTCCGTTGTGTTGGAGCCTTGGAGCGGTGATGCTCCATGAGATCGCGACCGTTCTTGGGCATGCCGTCACCAGCTTGTTGGCGCCTCACGCCAAATCATTCCATTCATTCAGCAAATGTTCTCATCCGCCCGTCTCTGCCGAGACAGCACTGGCTCCACGCAGCCGCCGGCACTGCAGCTCGTCAAAAGTTTCTTTTGGAGAAGCGGGCTCTGGCCTTGACATCGCTTGACACCGCTGCTGTCAAGGCGCAAAGTTTCGGAAATGCTGGCGGAGGTCTGTATCGGGTGCCAAGCTTGTTCCGAAAGAAGCGCCGTGCCAGCAGGCCATGACCAAGTGTGGACCTTCGCGTACGGTGCTAACATGGGCCTGGCTGAAGCCTCAAGTAACTCAAGTAATCAGGGAGCGCGATACGTTCAGATGCTTGCTAGCAGCCTGCAACTGCAGAGCCAGATGCCAAACCAGCATCAGCCTCGCTGAGGCCAAGATGCATCTTCTTGGCATCCATCCCTTCAAGAGCCTGGTGGGCTTGCTGCCGCATCATGAGCTGATATTTGACAGGCCTGGTGGCAAAACGTTGGTTGGACCTCTGCCATTAGGCAGCATGTGGTTAGGTCGCATTGTAGGTCATTGGCAGACGGCATCAACGAGCCTGCCTTTGCCAATTCCTCGGCTCCGCTGTCAGCTAAATGCGCTGCCCTTTCCTTTTTGCCAGGCGAACATCCGTCACATTGAAGATCCAACCGATCCTGCGGCCGTGCCATCGCCTAAGCAATTGATTCACCCTTCTCCAGTTCGAGCCCCGAGGTCTGTGGTAGCAACTCGATTGAGGTCTCCAGTGCACGGTGTCGTCCATGCCATTAGCCAAAAGGAGCTGACCGCACTCGACTCCTCAGAAGCGCCGCTGTACCACCGAGTGCAGATGCCGCTCGCATGGACTGTTGCCTTGGGGGAAAGCTTTCAATCTCTTTGAGATGCGGTCCTTCGAAGGCCTGTTCAAGTCAGCACGCCGCACGAGGCCGGCAGGAGCCTTCACTTTTGGCACTTGAACGAGAATGCCATAATGTTTGCTCACCATCTCCGCAGGTGAAAGCATGGACCTACGTGGGCGATGGAAGCAGTGGCTCTGCCGAGGCTCAAGCATGAACCCCCCTCAAAGATCTTTACTGAACTTCGACCCGTGGCTCTGTGAGGCAGGACATCGTACCGTTCATTCAGACGAAGGACTTCCACTTCTCGGCATCGTGCCGCATGGAATCTGTGTCAAAGTCATTGTCTCAGCAAATGCAACATGTAGAGTCGCATGGTCTCTGCTGCCACGCGTGGCTCACCGCGCCTCATTGCGTTTGCAAGAAGCCACGTGCACAGACGGCGGGCATGTCGAATCTACTCTACTTGACGGCAGCTGCGGATCTAACTGTGCTGGTGGCGGTCGATGACTCCCACGGCATTGAGCGCATCGAGCTCGCACAGGGCTCGGTACCTTCACAAGCGCGAAATATGGACGAAGTAAGACCGTCTTTGACTGATGCAGGGCTCCAGCTGATCCGAGCAATTTCCCGTCTCGTGGGATCGAGTCGGCACAGCGACGAAGTCGTTCAACAGCGCCTACAGCGTCTCCTCCGCAGCTGGCGCCGCACTCGCCCATGTGCGGCAATTCTTCAACATGCTCAAAACCAGAATGCACCGCGGCTTTTCGTGGACCACGTCGGCTGTAATTTGGCGGATGTTTCATGGGAATTGCTTGGCAGGGCGCAGACCAGCGCGGCCTTTTTTGAAGTCGGATTATTTGGCTACGGAAATCGCAAACCACGCAAGACGCGCAGTGAAGCCGAAGCTGACGCAGATCCGTTACAGCGGCTTGGAACCTTTGCTGCTCCCGGTGGGGGAAGCGCGAGGTCCTTCCAGCTTCAACGGCTCGAACCTCTGCGCTGGCATCGGGTCAAAGTTCGGGCTGTAGGGCTTCACAAAAGCTGGGTTTCTGATTGGAGTAACGAGGTATCTTTTCGCACTCTAAGTCTTCCGGATGCACAGGATGCTGGCCTTCACATCGCATCCGAAGGCTTTCTGGTCAAGTCAGAGCGATTAATCCAAAAGTGTGTGACTAACCAAAATGTCAGCTTGCCAAGCAGAGAAGAGCGCATGGTGAGGCGAGTGCGCCAGTTGTTGGGCGCATCTCAGTCATATGAGGCTGCAACGACGAAATTGCTGCATGCACGCTACAGCCAGGGCGGATGGCCTGATTTCGTGAAGCAAGGGGCAAAGTTCTCCCGCCCGGCGGCTTCGCGCGACGAGCGCATGAAGCGAATGCAACTCGCAATTGCTGCAGAAGAGCTATATGGCCTGGTTTATCCACGCGGCAATGAGTGGTGCCAGGGCCCGTTTTACTACGAGTCGGCTGGGCTGAAGACACTGAGCAGGAGATCCTCATAAATATCTGAGAGCATCTTCCGAATCGGGCCAATTTCTGGTAGTTTTTTATCATGCATGCTGTTCAACAAAATTCAATGTGACCTGTCTAATGAGCACATGGCTCGGGTACTGGCCCCGGTGCCAAACATGGGGGCGGTCGTCAATGCTGAAGAGCACTCGAGTTCTGCGAGCGCGTGTGAGAGCAGAGACCTTCGCAGGAGCTCCGAGTGCTCGCTACGCGAAGTTGGTGCTTTGCGGCGCCAAGGCCAGCGGAGAGTCGCAGCCCCCCATGTGATGTGCGGTGCAGCGCAGGAGAGGAGCCTCCCCGAGTGGTACCAGGAGCGACTTCTCAGGAGCCTGGACAACTGGGGAGTGCCGAGTGCCGCTCTCGGCTGGCTCCCGACTGCGTCCCGACCTCCTTGTTGTCGATCCCAAGGATTGACCTGCGAAGGGCAGCAGCCCCACGCGGCCTTGCAACATGCAGGTGCAATGCTGCCACTGGTAGCGTCGGTGGCTGAAGCACAGCCACTGGGTGCATTCGATTGCCACGCGTGCTGGCCTCTGCCTTGCTCAAAGGTCGAGCAGCACTGCCACGGCAATCGCGTTTCTTTTTTGTGAGCCTGGTTTGCAGGGCGCTGAGGGGCACACGGGTGGCGCAGTCATGCACGCTGGAAAACATAGTTCTTTCCGGACAACGGGGTGTGCGCGAGTATTTTGCGTAACGGGAACAGGCAAACCGTAACGCGAACTTGTAAGAACAGGGCCGGAGATCGGAACTTTCAGGCCTTCCTTTGAGATCCTGCACCTTTTCTTGGCTGCCTGGCTCAGGGACCGCTTTCCGGTCCCCTACTTCGAGGGATTCAGACCTACGATTCCGGCATGTCTGCCTCGAGCCCCCAACATCATCTTCAACCGACACCAAGACACCACCAAATCAGCACCAAATAAGGCGCTTGCCTGAAACCCTGAAGCCTCAATCTGCAACTCTGCGCCCTCCTCAGGTCCGCAACCAATGAAAGCAGATTTTTCAAGCGCAAAACCAACTGCCACGGCGATCCCTGAATGCCTCAATCGAAAGCTCCTCTCAGATTCATCGTGCTGTGCGCTTCGCAGCAGTCTGCCTTTCTGAAATTGTTCGGCTAGCCTGACCAGCTGAACTTAGGCATCAGAATTTTTCGACGAGGGTTGCTTTAAACGAATGAGTTTCTACTTCCAAACATGGTTTCCGGTAGTGGGTTTTCCGGTCGAAGTTCCTGTTGCGCAAGGGCTCCGGTTTCTGTTGCTGCTGCCGTGCGTTTCTGTTACATTGTTACATTGTGCAAGTTCGGTTTCCGTCTGTCCCCAAACGATTCCTGCTACTCGCCGCACCCCATGCCCAGGCAAAGCTGCAATGGAGCTGTGCTGCCCACAGCGGCAGCAACTGCACAAAATTGCAAGGGAGAAAGCAAGGCTAAGGTTTAACACCTGCATGAATTCGGACTGATGTTTCTGAAAGATGGCACTGCATTCTTGCTTTCGCGCCATACCACCAGAATATTACATGTTGGGCCATCTCGCTTGAATACCTTATTTCGATGTTGGTGCAACGAACGCTTGTGAGCCTGTCAAGGGCATGTGTAGTCAATTTGCCGACAGTGTCCACAAACATGGCTGCATGCTTGTCGCGGATACAGTACAGCCACGTTTCAACCCGGCATCCGTTGACGAGAAGCGCTTGTACATCTTGCACAAGTTAACAGAAATGCGAAATTTGCATACAGCCGATATCCATCGAATCAGCTTATGTGGAGCTCGCAGTCACATGGACTCCGAAGGTGCCGTCAGCTGGTGCGGCCTTTCCCCGTTTCTCGCTTCTGTCGCCGCTTCTGTTGAACAGGAACAGATGCGGTGCTGCCGGAAGAGGAGGGCTCGCTGGCCAAAGTGCGAGTGTGTGTCCGCTTCAGGCTGCTGATCACATCACATTTGGAGGGTCACGAACATGAGCTCTTGGTTTGGCAGGTTGAGGCAGTCAAGTGTTCTTGCATCCGATGCAACTCGCAGGCCAGTGCTGCCCGGAGAGGCCGATGCCGCGTGCGGTGCACGCATGGTACACGAGCCATACAAGCCGAGCCTCTGAGTCGGCCTAGAGTTGTGGCGCAGGAGGGGCCAACCGGACGGATCAAGTGGGACGAGGAGATACAGGGTCTTCTGACAGATCAGCTCATGTTTCTCTCTCGACAGGGCAGCGCGCCGAGAAGCGTCCACATCCAGGGAGGCGGAGGGCAGAAGTCCCCGTTGAGACTAAAAGACAAGAGTCAGTTGAATGATTCCGGGGAGGTTCAACAAGAAATGCTGCTATGCTGCTATGCCGCTCACGCAAGCCTGAATATGTGTTCTTTCTCTTGTTTGCCTCCGTGTTTTGTTGTGTTGCAGTTTGTGCTCCTCGTCCTGTCCGCTTCGGGCGGCCTTCGGAGTGCCCCGTCGGCGATGCATTCTCTGCTCAGCGTTGCGTGCCTGGGCCAAGTCATGCTTGTCATCTCAATCGAAAATTCGAAAGGATTCGAAACAAAGGCATGGACCCAGGGCCCTTGCCAGAAGAAGCCTGCCAGCCTCGAAGCTAGAAGTCCTGAAGGCCGCCATGAAACTCAGAAAGCCTTCCAGTTTGTGCAGGGCTTAGCCGTGTGTCCGAATGCATACGAAGAACCACGGCACGGCACTGTGCTGAAGGACAGAGTTTTTCCACCTTCGACATCTCAGGAAGAGGTCCGAGAAAGGCCGCTGCAAGGAGGGAAAACAAACATGTGGTTTCATGCAGGTGTTCAAGGATGCTGGGCTAGATGAGCTGCTGGACGCACTGATGGACGGCTACCACAGCACCGTCTTTGCTTACGGTACCGGCTCTGTGATATTCAACTTTTGCGCTAGTGCCATACAGTGTCCCTCAAGGTCAGACCGGCAGCGGCAAGACTTTCACCATGGAGGGGCTGCCTGCACAGTCTATGGAGCTTCGCGAAGGGCTTGCTTCCATTACGAAGCTGAGGTTTTCTTACCAGCCCGGCACAGTGGCCAAAGCGCCACAGGCTGGGAGCTCGCTGTGTTTTGCCGTGCGGTGCATCGCCGAGCAGTTTGAGGTGAGGGCAGAGTCTACCTCCCCCGAGAATCTGGGAATCGTCCCACGGGCCATCCACGGTCTGTTTGACCGGATTGACCGGAGAGCAACCACTGGCAACAAGCCCAGCATGTCGGATGTTTTTGTCGAGTCGTGATGGCCGTTGATGTCCAACCAGAGGCGAAAGTGTCTTCACTGTGCGCCTTTCGTTTCTGCAGATATACAACGAGCTACCTGCATGCACAGCCAGATAGTCAGATGACCAAACAACTCTACTTGGAGGTCTGCATCCTTCTGAGGCGTATCTTTGACCTCTTGAACCCGGTCCACCTGACGAAGTTTGGTCAGGGTGGAGGGCTGCGGCTTCGATGGAATCCCCGTGCCTTGGACCCGTTCTGTACCAGGTTGGCGGAACACATCCTGAATCCTGACAGACAACTGAGGCGAAGCTTCCGTCACCGTGGAGAACCTCTTTGTTTTTGAATGCAGGCCCTTGTCATCCTTGTTTCTCGGAGCTGTGCTCGCGTGAGAATTAAGATGGATTGAGGACTGCTGATGAAGCTTTGAATCACTACAAGGTTTGCTGGCATGACTGCATCGTCGTAGCATCTCGCAGCATCGGAACCCTTTAGCTGATCCCCTTCAGGCAGGTGTGAAAAATCGGACCGTCGCGAGTCATCAGATGAATCAGGCCAGCTGAAGATGACTCGCAAGCCTTCGGAGGATATGCCCGCAAGTGCTTCTGAATGCATTGGGGAATTCGTTCGCCTGCTGCAGGCAAGCAGTCGATCGCACTCCGTGCTGATGATGACCCTGGAGCGGTATTCCACTTAGATGTTCGCAGACTTTAATCCCACAATGCACTGCACCATCAGGCATGAAAGAAGATCAAAGGAATGCGGCATGTGAAAATTGTTCGAAATGTCTCCAATTGTATTCGGAGGGGCCGAGCGACACGACATCAGCACAAGGCCCCTGCACCCGGAACCCTCTTTCTACCCCACAAGAAGACAAGCTTGCCCACTGCCGAAAACCGACGAATTCGGAGGTCATTGCGCTACTTCTTTCGACCCGCCCCAACCCGTTTAGTCGGTTTCCCGACTTGCACCCGCCTCCCGCTGCTTTCAAAGGGTGTGAGAGAGTCGTGAGCCTTTCAGTCATTCCTCCGAGATGTGCCGGAGCCAAGGAGGACCGACCATTCCGTCGATCAGTCATCCAAGCTGACACTAGTGGACTTGGCTGGCTCCGAGCGGCAGGCAGACACAGGCTCACACAGTGTCCCTGCCTTTGCCTGGTCTCCAGAACCATATGTAATTAAATGCGTATGTATGTATGTATGTATGTATGTATGTATGTATGTATATATATATATTGTATTTGTATATATTTATTTATTTACTTACAATGATACGTATGTAGATATGTAGACTTAGACATATATACTTACATGTATCTGTACATGTATATGTATATTTATGCGTGTGTAGATGTATGTACACATATACATACGTATGTGTGCTTGTGATTGTGCGTCTGTCTGTCTGACAACAGATAGCGGAGGTGCCAGCGGCCGCACGCTACAGGAGAGTGCAAGCATCAATCAGTCGCTCTTCGTGCTGCGCAAAGTGATCGCCGCTTTGGCCAAGCACCAGACCAGGCAGGCACATCTTGCTTTGATTCCGTATCGTGAATCCAAGCTTACCATTCTGCTACGGGACGCCTTGGGTGGTTCTGGCTACACTCTGATGGTGGCTTGCTTGTCCATCCTGGATGCTAGCGTTGAGGAAAATTTGTCTACTTTGCAGTATGCCTGCACAGCCGGCAAGATACGAAATCGTCCAGTGGTCAATTTGGATCCCACCACTTTGCTCATCAAGCAGCTCCAGCAAGAGGTTCAGAGGTTGAAGCGTCAGCTTGAAATTTTCCAGAAGTACATCATCCACCTGACCGGAAAGCCGATACCACAACAAATTCTTCATGGCGGCACGTTCCCGAATGCTGACACGCTTGACGTTGCTCCGGAAGCCGCCCGCGACGAATGGAGTGCGCCATTCGTTGCCAGCTCTCAGCATGCGCCACCACCGGGTCCCGTCGTGGGCCATCTGGGCCTGAGCTCACAAGAGAGAAAAGTTGCGACACCACGGGGCAAGGCCACCACGCCGACAGAGCGGCAGCCGCCATCTTTTCCGGTTCCGGAGGTTCCCTTGGGGCTTCCTGGGCCGGGCGCGGAGCCTCCCCGTTCTGATCCAAGCACTGAAGCTGCTGAGACTCTCGGCATCAGCAAGGAAGAACTGGCCGAGCGGCTTTCCGAGGCCGTTGTCAGCTTGGGGCAGGCCACCACAGAAAACTTCACGCTGCGTCGCAAATGTGATGCCGCGCAGAAGGCGAATGACGCATTGGAGCTGCAGGTCAGCAGTTTGGAGAAGGAGCTGCTGCTTCACAGGCAGCACGCCTCCCGCATAGGAAGCGATGCCAGCGATGCCTGGTTTGGGGATAACCTGGCGCAGCTGACCCAGATGGACGACCAATCGACAGCGCTGACGGCCATGTGCTGGCCTGAGGTGTAACAGCATGTCCTGCGAAAGCACGGAAACGGTCTTGCATGACACTGCAGTGCGAAACTCAGTGCCAGATATGTGATTCAAGCTTTCAGGCGAGCAGCAGCGTTTTACGACCTCATTCTGCTGCGCGAGGCCATGCGTGTCGATGTTGGTTTCATTGGAACCTTGTGGTAAGCTCTGCGTTGCAGGAGCTCTCTGCTGGCAGAGGCCAGAACGATGAGCAAGTTTTACGGATCCGCTAAACTCCATTCTGTTCAGGTCTTGCTGCACGATCTTCAGCGGGACAGCAAAAGTGTGTGTGTGTGTGTGCGCGTTTTTGTTTTGGCGAGTCTCGCGCGCTGTACCTGAGCATCTGAATGCTTCACGTAGCTTCTTGGGCCCGAGCCTGTCAAGCTGCAGAACACGCCGGACCACAAGAATTCACAAGACAGTCTGTACTCGAAGCAACGGAGGAAGGACTTTCTTCAATCTTCCCCAGTCCCACCGTGAACTCCAGTCAGTCAGCAGATGTCAGCAGAACACAGACCACAGCACGGAGAATCAGCTTTGTACTTCTCGGTTGCGTGCTGTGCGCCTGCTTCGCAGCCCGCGGGATGCTGAGGCCCAGAGGGTCTCCCCGCAGATTTGGAGATCTGCAGTACTGCGATGTACTGCGTAGCTTCTTGCTGAGTCGCGTGCAGGTGCAGAGCCGGTCACATCGCCCCGCGCTCGGTCCGAGGAAGAGGAAGCTTCGCTGCCTTTCGTGCATTCACCGCTCTAAGGTCGAGAAGGTGAAGAAGCTGAAACCCTGGCAAGGCCAGGAGTCTGCACGGACAGGATTCGGCTATTGTGACTCTGCTGGAGGCCACATTCACGTTCGTGAGTGCAGCTACTGCCGGAACGAGATTGACCGGCACGAAGTGCACTACAGCTGTCCGGACACTGACTGGGCTACAGAAAGTCATGCTTTGCATCAATTGTATTTTCCCGTGGCTGTTGGATTGCATCTCAATATCATACGTGTAGACAGTTCAACATGCACTCCTCTGCACAGCAAATACCCATCAGGAGAAGTGCCGCCTTGAGCTGAGTGTTTCAGACTTCAGCGGCATCTTGCTCGATGTGCTGGGCCAAGGCTTCTACGTGTGTCATTACTGCACGCAACTTGGGGTATGCTCCGCCATCGCACGTCCCGAAGCACTCGTCAAGCTGCTGCTATTTGTCGCTGAGGCTACAAGTCTGAGGTGGCCAAGCGCAAATCGTCCGGCCAGGTAAAGCATGGCTGGGAGTCTGGGAGGCGGGCCTACTAGTAGCGAAGGAGTTACTAGCTCAGCAATTGCTGATGCTGAGGATAGCTGTACGGCGAATGCAGGCAGACATCGGGAGACAGCATCAACAGCAAAGCCTCCAACGTTTGCGACATGATCAGCCATCGGCTCAGAATGCTTCAAGGTATTGAAGAGGCTTGCCCCAATGAGTCGGTTCCCAGGTGACAGCGGTGCATCTTCTGCGTACGTCTGGCTTGTTGCTTCCGGGCACAAGCTTTGCCAGCACGTCAGTACTCACATTGGACATGAGCAGGGGCTCGTCCATCTCATCACCTCCGATGCCCAGACCGGCACGCACTGCGCTTGATCGCATCCCTCCTCCCCTTTAACCACCTCCGCGCATATCTTTCCCAAATATCGTTCCCTTGAGTGCACATCTATGTGGACTGAGTTCCAAAGCTGACCGTGCCTGGAACGTCCGTAGCATCAGCGGATATGCGCAGCGGTCACAGCAGAGGCCCAGTCAAAGCAGCGATGGACACTGACGTAATCCGTGGTGTGTTCCCCCAGAGCTGCCTGCAGGCTCCAGCACCGGACGATCGCAGCACCGGGCCCAGACCGCCAGCAGTTTTCCAGTCACACCACACGTAGCACATCATAGCTCTCTCAGCCCTCGAGCTCAGGGCTGCGCGGCTCAGTTACAAGATACAGAGTGCGAGTAAGGAGCCGGGGCCCTGCAGGACCTCAGCAGGCAGCAGGTAGTGGCAGCGGCAGCAGGTGGTGTTCCTTGGCTTTCGGAAGGTTTCTGGAATCCAGCTGGCAGCGCTCCGTTGAAGTTGTCTTTTGGGTCTCTGTGGTCTTCATCAGCGGGGGGCCCAAGGACCAAGCGGTGATAGGTCGAGAAGCTCTGTGCTTCGGGCCTAAAGTATTGCAGTCTGAACTTGCTGGCCTGAGGTGATTTCATTGGCGCATTCTACTTGCAGAATCTCACCACTGACGAGGATCATGCAAAGCAAATCTCTTGGCGAAGCATGACAGTAGCATCGAGATTCTTACATCTTCTCTGCCTGCTTGACTACTTTCCATCCCCATTCCCTGAAGTTCAGCTCCACTATCGATCCTCCTGTCCCTAATTGGAGCCCTCGTGCCAACACTTTGGACACTCAAGCGAAACAAAACGGGAGTTGCTCGGTCGTCGTGCCTTCGGTGGAGCCCGACAGTTAAATGTCTGAAGAGGCACGGTCTTCGACATGACAATAGATTGAAAAAAGCAACGTGGGCTCAACGGTGAAGCTGTGAAACAAGAGCCCAAAGATCGGGAGCTGGTTCGTGGCCTTGGCGTGCTACTTCAGACTTGTCGGATATGTGAGCTTGGTAACTAGCTCTTGCAGGCACAGAGATGCAGCTTCTTGTTGTGAAAAGTTTGCAGTTCGAAGTTCGAATCATCAAGCCACAGCAGATGCTGTACAGTGTCAGGAGCTGGCCTTCCCATATCCGCAACTTGGCCGCAAAGGCCCAGCTCTTCGTCCCGTGACGCTTTTTGCAAACCGCCAACCGCGTCACAGAAGCTGCAATACGTCGTAACAGAGGCTTTTCTTGAGTCACTTGCACTGTGCAAAGTCGAAAGGGCTAGCCTCCAAACTCAGCAAGAAAATTTAGAAAAGAAAAAGTAGCCCACAAAGAGAGTGCTTTTGAGGTTCTTGACGGCCTGCTTGTCGAACTTTGTGGCCGCCATTCTGGTCATCACCATCGTGTTTTTGCTGTCCAAGACGGGCACGCAGGAACTTGTAGGTGAGCTGGCAGCCGAGGCTGAGGCCTGGCTGGGCTCCGACAGGACTCCCTAAAAGGTCCGCTTCGAAACGCCTGAAGGTTGACATGTGGGTGCAGCTCATCCTTGGCGTCCTCATCACTTTCGAAGTTGCAGCTGCCGCTAAGGCAGAGCGACATGACTCCTTGCAGTGTTGTATGGCTGAACGTCGTGAATGCTCAGGTCTTGTCCAACCAGCATCACACGATGGCAGCATGGTTCTACATGCTGACCCCAGCCCCTTGCATTGCATGACCAATCCTGCTAATCAGACCAAGCACGATACTGAAGTGAGATTTCGATTCAGGGCTCGCCCATCGGATCTTTTTGGCGGACGGAAAGAATGAGGCCGAGTTTGGTAGTCCCTCAGAGCCCTGTCGAGGTAACGACTGTCCTCGTTGCAAGCGCTATACTCAGTGAACGCAGTGACGCTCTGTGATGCTCCGTGCTTTCGTCTCAGAGTCAACTGGACACAATGCGTCTTCCAGGCACCAACTACTTTGGTGTCCTGGCTGCGAAGATACATTCGATATCGGGAACATGCACTGAACTTCGATGCCCAACTGCAGGTATGGAGGTGCTCCACAAGGAGTGGGTGCTTACGCCGTCGTGCATCGCCCATTTTGTCGGTAATTTACGCTTTCGTTTGCATGGATCATCACGGATTACCTGTCTCAATCCAGGCGAAACGCCCCCATCAAAAACACAGTGGTATGTGCCTCGTTTTAGCCGATTCTCCAGCTCTAAAGGAGCTCCTGACTGCAGCCGGCGCCGCAGCCCTAGGCAGACAATTGGTACTCAGAGTTGTTTGCACATCTCACGACAAGTTCCGTCAGCAGTGCAAGTTCAGCAGTTCTCGGGCAGCACAGGAATCGTTAGTTCGAGGGGTCTGCACCCCGAGTTGTAAAGAACATCTGAACAAGAGGCTACTTTTCCGTCATTTCGAAGGTCGTACACATGCCGCGCATGCACCGAATCAAACTGTTTCTGGCAAGGAACAGGGTAATTACGAAGTTCCTGCCTTTCGAGCCTCATGGAGAGTACAGAAAACCAGTCCAAGTTTAAAAGGCCTCAAAGGCATTCGCATCCTGTGCTTTTCAATATACAAGTCGTTTCTGCAACCTTTCCGTGTTTCCGGCGCTCAGGTTGCATCATTAGGTGGCATGATGGCCGTGCATGGCCCCTGGCCATCACTGGAGGTCGGAGAGATGAGTAAGCTATGGTAAGCTGCTCGCCAGTTGGAAGACGGTGGCTCCCGCAGGGTCTTACAAGCCTGGAGTGGGCCTGCTTGGCCGTTGCTGGATCCTGAGCCTTCCTTTCCACATGAAGTACACAGATCTGCCCACTGGTCAATGTCAACTGATGAGTCGAAGGCACAAGTGCCGGTTCATACAGACGTAGATACTTGTCTTGCACATTGCTTCATAGCGCAACTTCACCACCACTTTCCCAATCGGTACCGACAGCACGTGCCTGTGGCTCTGCATGCTGATGTTCCCAAGGTGTTCACGGTCGGACGGTGTCTCCTCACGCAGAAGGTAATGTCTCCTGCGCAGGGTAGAAGGCACATCGTTTTTCCTTCTTTGCTATTAGTTATTCTGAACAGTTCGATGAAGTCCAGCACTTTGCGTAAGAGAGTCCCAGAAGTCTTGCTGGGAAGCGTTGAGCTGTTTGGCAGGCCGGGTGCACTCATCGTTTCAAAGCTGGTGCTGTTGGCAGCTTTCACCGTCGGCGTAGAACTGCCGGCAGCTCAGAAGTCCTGAACCAGCGTCGCCTTCCGCATGCCCGGCCCCGCAAGGTCACTGTACAATGAGTGCCTGGGCTGCAGGAGGGAAGGCCTCGAGAAACCGCGCCCTGAAGAGTCCGGTCGCATAGAGCCGGCCGCACCAGGGCCCGTGAGCTCGGTGCAACACATTTTCTCAGGTGGCATGGGTTTTGGTCCATTCCATGGCTCCCTCGTCCCGGTCCTGTCTTTCGACTTGTGGCTGTCATAGGCACGATGTAAATGGTCATGCTCCAAAGCTTCATGGCCCATGGCCCGATGCATGTTTGAAGCGCAGTTCTTCCATGCAGGCATCTGCGATGCTTGCAGCGTCCCTGCCCATGTGGTGATTGTTCATCGAGCTTGCATGCCTTCAGTTTATCGAGCTACAGCGTACCAGGTCATCGGGACAACCAGATTGATTCAGATAACATCCGCTGCATTTGGAGCGCTGCTGGTACCGTTCCATACGGTTACTTTGCTGCCTATCGAGGCCGTTTTGGTGGAAATTCCAGATTCGAAGAGTATTTCTCATGCATCTGTATGGAAGCCTTTTGCTTGCACCCCTGGCCAGTCCTTGAACAGCTCCATTTCCGTCATCAACTGGTTGGGGCTTGTTCTCTGCGTCACATCCGCAGTCATGTACTTCAAGGCGCAGCACACAGAGTCACAAAGATCGTCCTGGCTTCCAGCGGCTGCACCGCACACTCATCTCATCCCGCTGCAGCTTACACGAGGCACGGAAGAGCACTGCAGAACACCCTGCAGGTGCGAGCAGAAGTTTGTTTGCTTTTAAGCTGCTCATGCAGATGTCGAAAGCACTGAGACCTTGTGTTTTTTGCAGGCTACTCCACACTACCGCCTCATTAGATTGCCGAAAACCAGACTTGGTGGCTCGCTTTGTTGCAACATTGCTCCGCTGCATTCCAGTAGTCCCAGCCCTGTGTCACCACATCCTGTCAGATGTTCGAGTGAAAGCCTGAGACGAGCTTGACTCTGGCAACGGGCTTTCTGGCTCACATTGGCTTGGTAGCATGCCCAGCAGTCTGTGGTCTACAAGAAACCTCGAAAGCCTCACCAATCAACAGCGCAGCCTGAAGCCTGCTGCAGCCATTAGCTGGCAAACAAAAGATACTTGGCAGTTTCATAGTGCTCAGTTCGCAGCTGGCAGCTGCGAATGCGCCGCTTTTGAAAGCACTTCAGAAACTGCGAGTTGCATGGGGTCCGACACCACAGGCCATGTTACTCGTTGGGAAAGGCACCTTCTGCCTCTCTTGCATGTGCCCCTGCCTCAACTGGAGGATATGTCCAGAGCAGCGTGGCTCTGCTGCACTCGAAAGCCTCCAGGTCAGGTGCTCTGCTAGGGCCATGGGGCCATGCTATCGCAGGTTTCGCACACTCGGACCCGAGGATGAAGAGGACCTTTGCGTGGTGTTTAACTTAAAGTATCTTAAAGCTCGCGTGCAGGAGGATGATCCTCGCAAGCACGACTGCAAGGGCCGGCTGGACCAACGGGAGGCCTCGCTTTACTGCCTTCTTGCAACTGGCGATCTCAGGGGAACGTCTCAGGCCGTCTTCAATTTCAAGCAGCAAAAGCTGCAGACAGATATGGAGATGCACCATGCTGAAATCCATTGCCAGGGCAGCGAGTTCGCCAGTTTGTGTGACTTGCATTCAATCGAGGTGGTTCATGGAGACCGTTCCCGAAATCTACGGCGCGTCTGACTCCGATGACCTTGACGAGTCTTTGCAGGAAGATGCACAGGCATAGCTGGCAGCTTCCAGAAGTCTGAGGTTTGTGCATGCTCTTGTTTCTTGTTGTCGAGGCCGAAATTATTGCGAAGATTTGCTCTACAGGAGACTGTGAGGCTGCGATCTGAAGTGGCTGAGTTCGAGAACTCCGGCGGACTCACTGTGAGCATTCTGCAGGCAATGCGACAGACTCTGCTCGACTGGTTAGTTCAATGTCCAGATCCGCACAGGCGGAGCTAGTTTTTTTTTACAGTAGCCACCTTGCTACCTTCGAGTTTCATTGCATGGGGCTGCCCCGGATAGATTTCAGAGGTAGTGACAGGTGTCACGGTTTCGCCGGTCTGAATGATATGAATGTCTTTCAACGATCCGCCATCACGGGATGGCAATGCACAACAAGCAGATGAACAACTGAAGGCGCGATGACTTTGTGGGCAAAGCTGTTTCAATGGCGCTGAAGGCACATTGCACTGCTCTAGCGCTGGTGTTACATTCACGTGGCCGCTGTGAGACTCTCTTGCAGGTCAATATGGCCGGAAGATCACAGAAATGATCGTTCTCCTGCCTGTTTGGCAGATCTACCTACAGTTACTCGTTTCTGGCATCAAAAGGCCACTGCAGCTGATGCCATAAGTCCTAGCTTCCTGATGTGTGTGCGACAAACTACCGCAGCCACGACGGAGTAAAAAGCCAAGCTGATTCAGCTCCTCTCCAATGTTGTCCAAGCCGTTTATGGAGCTTCATCAGATCCGTGGGACTTTTGTCGGCGAGCTCAAGAACCAAAGCATGGACACAGCATGGAAACACTCGTAATGCGCGCCGTTGCAGATTGTCACGACAAACACCAACCAGCACGCATTTTGGTCATGACATGTCATCATATGTCATCTACAAGACAGTCTATCTACGGGAGGTTTTGAGCGTGCCATCCCGCCGAGTGCATAATTAATGCAGCCAGACGACTCGCTATCTTGGCAGACTCAAGCTGACAGGATTACATTATATTACATTAGCCAAGTGCTTTTAATGGCAGATGGGGATTATGATCTGTGGGATACGCTGAATCTTCAACGTGGAGCTTCGGTTGACGAGGCATGACCCGCCCCTGTGATGGACAACTGTAACAAAGCAATGCCGCATTGGCAGAGGTTCGTGTGGCATTCCGGGAGCTTTCTCGTCTCTACCATCCGGACAAGCATGTTCGTGCTGGTGAAGGAGTGCACCGAAGCTGTTCCTTGAATTGCTTCAAAGTCTCAATATCCGACATCACGGCAGCGAGTGGCATGGCTTCAGTTCTGTAATGATAGAGGTGAGAATGCAGCCTTCGTCAGAGCCAAGTGCTCAGCGCGGGCAGCATGCGTGTAGTTCAGTCCGTCAGGAGCTTTACAACTTTGAAGATTGACCCATGTGCCAGGTCCATCGAGCATATCGGATACTCAGTGACGATGTTCCATATCTCAGTCGAGATGCACGCACGTGTTCAGAGTGTCAGCTGGGATGATTCTCGGAGACCATATACGACTGCGAGAAGCGCAGCTCTCCGGGGCAGTGGGATCATAGTGCCGAGTCGCACGGTTGAGCAATCAACAACCTGAGGCGCTGCGTGGCTTCTATGTCGCTTACTCAGCGATCTGAGGGTCTTTGCCCCTCCATGCTCGCGTTTGCTGACATTCATGCTGGCTCCTAGGCCCTAGGCTTCTCCGAACATGTGATGATCAATTGCTACGGCATTGTCACATCCCAAGCAAACTGAGGAGAAGTACGGCCTGTCCGGTGTGAGACTCGCAGAAAGTCTGTCGGACGATGACGGCGTCGATCAAGGAGAAGGTGCCTTTTGGGCCACCGCGGTATACTGCAAGCGAGCGGCGAGCGCACAGCTGCACTGGTAATGGTGGTGCAGGTGCAATCAGCGTGCCTGACGACAGACTGAAGGACGACCGACAAAGCCTTGATAATTACGCCACTCCACACATTGTAATTACAAACTAGCGCAGCGAACTGTGGCTCGTTTCCTCTCCTCTTCGTTTGCGATGGAATGTTGAATGAAGCGCGAAACGAAGAAGAAAGAAAAATGAGCCACCCATGGACTTCCTTCCTTCAAAAAGACCCAAGTTTAAACTAATAAGACACGCATTCCACTCATTCCATTTGTTTTTATTAGTTGAAATTGGTTCTTTTCTTCACTACGTTTCTGGGAGCAGGTGAGGAACGAACGAAGCAAAGGACACAAAGACTTACTTTGAATAAACAAAGGTAACGGAAGTGAGAAGGACGCACGCTTTGTTTATTTAAAATTAGATCTTTTGTCTCTTTGTTTCTGCGTTCGTTTCGTGCGTGTCTTGTTCAAATTAAGCAGATAAAAGCATGCATTCGTTGTCTTTTACTTTTAATTTAAACGACGCACGAACAAGACCGCACATGAACTTGGAGCCATTAATCACATTGTTGTTTCTCATCTCGTTCTCTTCATGCCTTCGTTCGCGTCGTGTAATTTCAATGAATGATAAAGAAGCGAGAATTAAGCGAAAAACGAAGTAAGCATGAACGGACGAAATGACAGCGGTCCACATTATTCGTCGCTTTTGCCTAAGATTTCCAATTGTGAGCCTTATTATGAAATCCTCACAATTAATTTTCAAGGGCCGCCAGGCGTGGATGAGTTTAATTTTAATCAGGAGAAGATAATGTAATTGAAAATGAAAGCATGCTTCTTTTGTCTAAAATTAAATAATCACACTCCTTTTCTGTGGTGTTTCTGGGGTGTGTTTTATTAATTGGTTCGTTTCGCGCTTGATTTACTTTCCATTGCAAACGAACCATTAATAATGCCACATCACCAGTAAACAACAGAAAACCCACAACAACCCCAAAATACCCAAATTAACAGGGTGAACGCGCACTCCTTTCTTTCACTTGTTTCACCCTTTCAAATTAGGTCTTTTGTCTGCGACGACGGCAGCAACAGCCACAACCAACAACCAACAACAGCCACTACCACCAACACCACAACAAACAACGACAGCAGCAACAGCAACGGCAGCCACCAAAAACTAACATCCAACAACCCACAACGCACAACCACAACAAAGCACCGACAGCAAAAGCAACGGCACGAGCAGCAGCAGCAGCAGCAGCAGCTGTAATGGCCTCTCATTAAACATCAGCAGCAGCAGCAGCAGCAGCAGCAACGACGACAACAGGAACGTTTCATATTTTTGAACACTGTGTAAGCCGGCTCTGCGCTTGACCGGAGCATTACCTGACAGCTTGAGACGTGCCTAGCCAGCGCCGCCTTTCGAGGCCAGATCTGCCTGCAGGCTCAGAGAAGGAGAACGGATTGTCTACATGAAAGAAAGCGCTGAAACCAGGGCGGCTAAGCACGGCGGCAGCGTGCTGCACAAGCACTTACTTCAGGAGAGCAGTCCGCCGGCAAAACGCCTGTTAAATGTGCAAGGTGGAGGATGCCCTCCTATATGAGGAGTCACCTGTTCACGCACCAAAAGGCAACCGACAGAGACAGCAGAGCTTACAAACAAGTCGGGCCGGACCCGCCGATGTGGCATCGTTCCAGCCGCTAACTCTCTGCTGAGGAGCGATAAACCCGTCGGAAAACAAGACAATAACGACCACGGCCGGGAGGGCCGTGGCCGAAGCCTGCCACCATAATTTAATAGTTATTTGGCTGTGCCCGTTTGCTGTAGGCATATGGTTGTGCGACATACTGTTTCTGGCTGTTGGAGGGCTGGGCCGGTTGAGCACCAAGTGATCCTCTTCCGCAAGTAGAGCCAGCCGACATCAGAGAAGCACGTGAGCTCTGCAAACGCCAAGTGGGTTGTCGTTGCCTGCATTTTTTGCTGGAGAGCTTGATGCCTGCACTTCACCCATGCTGGGGGCAGCATGTCCTCGGTGAGTCGCTCCTGCACCCAGGGCCAGCATGGCCTGTGCCTGTGGCGGGTTGGAGCGCGCCGCCGACTGGAGTGCCTTAGCATCGTGGCAGAGGCCTGAGAGGTGGACCTGAGACCTGCCTGTGTCGTAGCGGCTGAATTCTGGCTGCCACGGGCAAGTCCTCCTTTTTTTCCAACTTCCTAAAGGAAAAGAGGGCAAGGGGCCTGATCGCTTGGCAAAGCCACCAGCCATCGCTTCTCTAGTCATGACAAAATCAATTTGGGTTTTAGAGTCGCGTTGTACGAAAGTGTGGGCCGGGGATGCTTGCTAGGTGTTCAGTGCCACCACGTGATGGGCACGAAGGAAATTCGTTAACTCCGATTCGTCAGGCCGAGACTCCGCTGTTTCCAACAAGCTGGGGCCTACCAGTCTAGGGATCCGGGAGACTAAAGATTTGAAGTCCCTGCGATGAACAAGGTGTCTCTGACCGGGACTTGCTTGACACAGCGAGACAGGTGGCGCATGACTGCCGCCTTGTCCGATCGATTGGCCTGTACTGTCTTCACCGGGGACTATACATGCTGATAAACAACAATAACTGTGGTACGGGCGGCGTGCCACTCGAACCGCACCTCCAAGACTGTGCCCTTCGCGTACCCCTTCCACCTGATCTTGTGAGGCGGGATGGAGGGAGACAGCAGCACCATGACACCGTCCGCCCTTGTCGTAGACGGGCCCGATGTGTCGCGTGAACCTGTAGACTTCTTGGGCCGAGGCCCCCGCTGAACGAAGTGTCCGTTGGGCTGAGCCCCCTCTTCCCGTGCTTTGAGCCTCAGTTGTGACCTCTGTTGCGGGAAAGGCTGACGACACGCAGTGCCATCCTGCAGACGTAAACTCCGCTGTTTCCTTCCAGTGTGTTTCCTGTAGGACCAGGACATCGCAGGTCTGCGAGGCCTCTGTCTTAAGCCAAGACTTGATCTCCGACCATTGTTGCTGCCCAAGGTGCCCAGCATTCCACGAGAGAATGCGAATCGGTCGTCTGGCACGGCCTGCTCGGGACCTTGGAAAGCCGGTTGCCGGCGCGCTGGGCGCATGCAAAAAGCAGTTGACACCGGCTGTTGCCTGCCTTGCATGCATGCTTTGAAAAGACTTCTTCCGAATCTGAGATTTTTTTTGTCTGAGAGCACTTGCAGCATTGGCGTCCGCTGATTTCGCCACGAAGCAAGCTAAGCGGTTGAGCCCTACCGCCTGCCCAGTAATCAATGCCTTAGACAGCGATTGGGTCCAGGAATTGAGACCTGGTGGACCAGACCGGTTCAATAAGCACGGAGGCACATGGCTCGAGAAGGGGCCCAATCCTTATGTCACCCTGGGGCCTGGTTAATAGCAAAAGGAGTTGCGCCCCAAGCGCGTTCGAAAACCTCCTAACTGCGTGACCGTCTGGTCCGTGGTGGCTGCAACAGCAACAACATAATCAGCAATAGCAACAGCAACAGCAGCAAGACCAATAACAGCAACAAAACCAAGCACAAGCACAACCAACGGCACGACAACGACGTGGACCACGACAACGACGATGGCAACGGCAAGAGCAACGGCAACATCAGCAGCAGCAGCAACAACGGAATCAGCAACAGAGCAGTGCACGACTTGCCCAAACCTTTAAAC